GCCGGTGGGCGAGCCGAGGGCGAAGACCACCGCGATTATCGTCTACCGTAACGGCAGGGGGTACAGAGCGCGAAAGGAGATTTAGTTTTGTAACATTAATTTTTTTTTATTAAGAAGACAGATATTTTATAGTACTTCTTTTCCTTTGTAAAAATGGTATACGTGAACCAATACAAAATGTGAATGGGAACAGATGGATATGTATTTTCTTACATTGTAACACCTTCCATGGACACCTTAAAACAGAACTGGCCTAAGGGGAAAAACCAAAAAGGCCGGGTGAATAAAGAACAAGGTTGTTTATCCTCGGTTCCGCGTCCTTCATTTGTCATACTCCTTTAAACAAGGTTGTTCTTTCTTCACGCCTCGAAATCCTAATGATCTAAAGCTGTACAAAGTAATACTCAACAATACATTTCAAACAGTGCACTGTATACTGAAGAAAAAATACATAAACCAATATACAACTAAAATTCGTAATTTCCTGGTTTTTATCCTGGTTTTTTCTTTTTTTTTTTTTTTCTCCTCCAATGTGTGGGGCCGAAATTTTGCAATCTACCTGAGACGGAAAACACCAATCAAAACACATGAACCTGAGACATGTCAACATCGTAAGTCAAAGTTACATCGGTAACACTGCACTACTGTACACTTCCAAAACAAAGATGGGCTGCTCAAAACCAGGATGCCAACCCCGCGACCGATGACGGGTAAAAAAAGCCCCCCGAACATGCTGACTGCTTCTCACCACGACGTGGTTTGGCAATGGTGCTGAAGGCTCAGAAAAGAGCTGCGCTCGACAAACTTTGCTCGGGAAAAAGGGTATTTCTGCGAGGTTCTTCTCGTGAAAAGGGGAAAGACAGACTACTGCTGGAGAATGGACTCGCTCTCTGCCGTCAGGCCATCCCGTTCCCAAAGGGCTCCCGCATTGTCATGGTTCTGCCAAAAACAACAAATAAAAAAAAAAAAAAACCCCCGCAGGAAAGTGCTCCCCTGAAACCCCTAAAAAAAACCCCAACCCTGGCGCTAAGATTAATGCTTCCCTTAAATAAATCAGCATACATTTTCCACATCAACACAGTAAAAAAACAAAAGGATCGCTCGAAATCCAAGATTACTCACCGAAAAAAATTCAGCGTATATAATTTTAGTACCGTCTTCTCGTTGCGGTCTGCTACCTGTCACTTACGATTCTCATGTACCTAGATTCTCCTTTTCACCTATGGCTTTAGAAGTCAGTTAGCACTGTCGTTTTAACGCGAATTCCCACGTTTTACTTAGCGGGCAGGAAAAAAAGGCAGTTTTGCTTGTCCGGCTGCTCTCCGGGTCTCGGCTCGAGCGCGCGCCGGGGGCGGGGGAGAGGACGACAAAAGCCGGGCGCTCGCAGCCTCCCGCACCCCGGGAGGGCTTTGCCTTCTCTAGCAAACCGGGGAGAGGCCGGCCCAGCCAGGAGAGCGGGACGGAGCGGTTAGCAAGGCGAAGAGCCAGAGCAGAAGTTCCCCCGTCCCCGTCCCCCCGAGCCCGGCTGGGAGCGGTCCCCGGGCACGGCGTGAGAGGCAGGCTCCGCATCCCCCCCGGGAGGAGAAACCCCCGGGCCTGGTTCCCCCCGGCCGAGCAGCGCCTCTGCCGAGCTCCAGCCTATTTCCTAGTCGCCACCACCGAAAGCACCTGAAACACGGGGCAGCCACAAACAGGTTCTCGCCGTTTGCGTATCCCAAGCCTTTACGATGATAAGAGGGAATGGGACATGGGCACACCGAACTACGAAATCTAAAATGTGCTGGTTCTCCTCCGATGAGCTCGAGTTCTAAACGGAAAACGGTGAAGAGAAAAGGAAGGAGGAACACCTTGAAAGAAACCCACCTACTCCAAGGGGTCCCAGCAGGCAACTCCAGAAACAGAACAGGAAAGGGGAAACGAAGAGCCACAGAAACCCGAAGGGAACTAACGCACAGAAGCCCCTCTTCTTCCCAGCCCCCCCCCCGACCCGAAAGAACAGAAATTAAACAAGGCACAGAATCTTCTGCAAATGACTTCACTAAACTAAATCCAAGCTGGACTTGGCCAAAAAAAGAAAACCCAAACAAACTGAGGTGTCGAACAGCAGAGTGTACTTTGCGAGGAATATTTTTACACAGCAAATCCCGGACCCTCCCAGCCTGACGACTCTCCACCCATTTGCTTTTTTTTTCTTTAAAAAAAGACACAAGCTGGTTGCAACTTCCAATATCACTGTCTCTTTAGCGTTTAAATAGGGCCAGTAGTAACCGTCCACGGTTGGACACCTCATAGAAACCAAGGCTGCTCTAGATGAAGTACTCTTTCTTTTCTTCGGAGTTGTTTTGTCCTCCTTCTGCATTGATGATGGCTGTGTCTGCGTCGGCCGCATCGTCTGCTCCTTTGGCTTCGTGAGTGAAGTATGTACCTGAAAGGGAAGCGGGAGGTTGCGTGACTCGTCGCAGGTCTCTGCAAGGTGCCAAGAGAGCGAGCGACGGAGCCGCGAGCGGAGAGGGGGAAAAACCACGCCACCGGGAAAGAACCGGAGGCTGAACGCGAGGGACTGAGCAGCCGAGATGCTGTTCACCAGCAAGACCGCGCCACAGACCCGACGACATAGGGGCAGGGCCCCCAGTCATCCAGATGAGCAACCCCCCTTTTTACTTTAATAGGAGCTGGGCATTTAGCCTCCGTAAACCGCGAAAATACCGGGCTGCGGCGTGAAAAACCAGTGCCAGCAACAAGCAAGGCTGATGCCGCCCGGTGCGGGAGCTCCCTGCTCCTGCCCTATCGCTGGAGATCCCCCAGGGCCGACCACGCACCGGGCACCGCCGTCCCTGCTCTGAAACGCGACGGCGCGTCGCTCTCTGCAGTGTCTTACTCGGAAAAGAAAGTAGGTCACAGCTATTTCCCCCTCTCAGAAGCACACAAATATCGGTAAAATTGCGTTTTACACGCTTTACTTAAGGGAAGCAAATCTTTCATCTCCGCTTTCTCTCTCCTCTAATGTGCTTTAGATCCCTCCCCCCCCCGCTTCTCCTCTCTTCTCAGCATTATTCACTCCATCCCAGCTGTGGTCGTAACCGGCCTCTCATTCTCTCTCTGCTTTTCCAAATAAAACCCCGTTAACATTAAATCCTTTTGTACGAACATCTGTACAGAGGAACGCTCACAATGTTGCGTGCGGGTTTAGATTTGCTCTGGAAGTTGTAACGAGTTCCCAAAATGGACTGGTTTGCACATAAACCACAAAAGCAAGATAGCGTGGCACCTACGTTATCAGCTCAGGTCAACTGGGTTTTGTAGAGGGACTTCCAAATTTCAGTTTCAACCTCTGTGCCGACGTGCTGGCTGCCAGCTTTGGGGGCGAGCTGAGCTGGCGTAGCTCTGTGCATCGGTACGCACCGTAATTACCTCTGCTACCTGGGACTGTAACGGGAGGTACTGTGGGCGATGGCGCGCTTCGAGAAGAGCTCAGCGTGCCCCATGACGGGAGCTGCTGCTCCAGAAAGAGAATACAGCTCGTTTGTCAGGTATCCTGCTGCTACGATGCCGTGGAAGGGACAGTGCCTCCAGCGGTACCAACACCTGCAGGCCTTAGCGCTGGCAGGTCGGGTGAAGCCCCTCCATTGTCCGGAGCCCCGGGCGCCCGGAACATGGACGGGCTGCTCCAGCCTTCCTCAGTTTCCCATTTCAAAGGCCCTTCAGGAGACATCCTTCCAGAGCAACAAGGGGGGGGGGTCTCTCGCGCCAGACAGAACAACATCACGAGCAAGGGGAAACGCGTGCCAAGTCCTCTCGTTTTCCAGTTTCGGTCTTTGTCTTACCTTTATGTCTGGCAAAATATCGCCCTAAAATGATGAGCAGGCAAAGCATTGCAAACACGACCACGGCCACGACGCCACCAACCACCGCATGGTCCACGCTCCGTATTGCCCCTTCCTCACCTGCACGAGAATCTGTTGAGATCAGAAGAGGAATAAGAATTCGGGACTTATTACGATGCGCTCCGAAGGGTTTGGCTGCAGCTGCTCTCAGGATTGGAAAAGCCACCCTTGCGCTCTCAAAAGGAAGAGGGGTGAAGCACGGAGCTATCTAGACAGATGAGTTCGGGCGGAGGAACTTTGCCCAAAGCCGAACTGATCTGGCGGCTCAACTTGCAAGGTGCTTTCCGCTATAAGCAGCAGCACTACGACTACACACGTGGAAGACAGCTGGGAGAGGGAGAGGGAGAGGGAGAGGGAGAGGAGAGGAGAGGAGAGGAAGAGGAGAGGAGAGGAAGAGGAGGAGAGGAGAGGGAGAGGAGGGAAGAAAAAGAAAACAGAAAAAGAGAAAAGAAAAAGTGAAAAAAAGAGAGGAGAGGAGAGGAGAGGAGAGGAGAGGAGAGGTGGAGTTGTTGGTGGGTACGTGTTTTGGGAAATTTCCCTCGAATCCTCCCCAAATTTGAACCTCCCCGGGGGATGGGGGCGCAGGGAAGAGCAGTACAATGCGGGAACATTAATCATTAGCTCTGGAGAAACATCCCCGTTGAGAACATTTCAACTTCAGCCCAAAAAGCTCCTTGACCACAAAAACCCACCAACCCAGCATGGTGAGCGCGTTTGCAACCGTCCTCTCCCCCAACCCAACAAGATGACGTCACTGAACACAACCTTTCCTGTTCGATGCCGTCCACGATGTCCGGAGACACAAAACTCCTAACCCAAACTATAAAAACCTCCTCAAAAGCAGAGAGCGAGCAATAACTGTACGGTGCCCCCAGCTGCTTCGTTTCATTTATTTAACTCCTCGCCGTGCAATTAGTTTTCTTCTAGAAGCGCCTCTCCCTCAGGACGCCGTCACCCGGGAGAGGAATGACTTATTTGGCGGAGGAACAACTCCGAAATGAACCCAGAATGAGCTATGGCCGTGTAAAATGAATGTATAGCAGTGTAAACAACTTTAATTTAAGAACGCGGCTACATCAACCCTCACTGCAATCCTAATGGCAACCGAGATTTATCACGTAGTAAAAAACAATTATTCTCCCGTTGATTAATACATTAACATTTTGGAATAGAAGCTAAACCATTGTCTCTTTTTTTTATTGAGTCAAGCCCGACACCTCCATTAAAATGATTTACCGGCCATACCTTACAATTTAAGCACAGCAGCAACAGAAACGGTAAAAATCTTTTAACTTTACATGATTTGTGAAGTCATATGTGAAGGATTTACCATTTAAATCTTTCACTACAAGAAGCACATGGCCTATAAATCTGTCCTGCATGCAGTTGCCCAGACACCTAAGAGAAATGCATTTTACCGGGAAGACTGAGAGTGCAAATGCAAGTCAATTTTTAAGAAAGATTTATCTCCGTCTCCCTCCAAAGAACAGAGCAAATCTCTGAAGCCTCCACCTCTAATAATATTTGAAGTTTATCGATCAAGCGTACAGATCCGTGACAGCTAAAGGTAATGGTGCTCTTTTGAGCCGAAACCCGATACAAAGCTTTCAAGCAGCAGCCCGGGATTTACGCTTTCTATCGATATTTCCAATTCTGCTCCGAGATTAAGGACTGAGGGACCTAAGTAAATAACTCGTGACTGAGAGGACTATAAAGCGCCTTTTAATTAAAACAATTTAAGAAAAAAAAAAACCCTTTGAGGGTTCCTTCGAGTAACTTCTAAAAGCGGGAGCGGCAGAACATCCCTGCTTGCCGACGGGAAAGGCGCGCAGGGAGGCGCAGCGGGGTGCCAAGCAGACCACCTCGCCCGGGCAAAGACTCCGTTGTCCGCCTGGGACAGCAGCAGCTGGGGAAAAAGAAAAAATCAGCAATCCCGGGTGGTCTCCTGGGTGTTCCGGGTACCTACCGCTCGAATACAGCCTCCTCACTGCGGCTTTTAGCTCGGCTAACACGGGCCTTTAAGGACTTACTCTCCGTAAAGCAACCAAACCCGGCTCATCTGCCGGAGCGGCTGCTTTAGGCAAGTTCCACTCCATTGCCTTTTTTTTTTTTTTTTTTTTTTTTTTTTTTTAACCCTTGTTATTTTTTTTTTTTTTTTAGACACTTAGCACCCAGTTCCGCTGGGCTGCACTAAGGAGGAGACAGCAGCATCCCAGACTGGGAGGATGAATGTCTTGCTGACATCTGGAACAGCTGAGGAGAACAAACACACTGAGTTACGGCTCTGTAACGTGCTTCGAGCAGGATTTTGCATCAAGAGGCATTTTTGCTTAATCACCATAAATTAAAGTTCTGGAAAGACGAACCCTTGGTGCGCTCATCCCGGCAGCGGCAGCCTCCGTGCCGTCACACCGACCCACACCTGCAGGGTTACTCGAAGCCGTGCCAAAGCCTCGCGCCCGACATCCGTCACGGCTTCCCTTCAATTTGCAGTCAGGTCGAGAGGCGGGGAGAGGGCGGCTCCCCGAGAAGGGGCTTTTGCATCAAGCACGGCAAACCCTTCGGGCCAGAACAGTTTGTTAAGTACGACTTCGTCTACTGGGACACACAGGGCCATTTTTCTTAATTATTGCTGTTAAAAAAGACCTCTGCGAAGTGCCTGCCGCAAGTTTATTTTATCGTGTGCGTGGCTAAGTAGCGCACCTTCAAGCTTACGCGCTACGGAAAAAACCAAACACCTTCTGAGGATGTCTAGCGGTTGCGAACCCTCCGATAGCAAGTCTGCGAGGCGGCCGGCAGCGCGCTCCTTCACCTGCGAGGCACCGCGTTTACGCTTGTACCAGATCAGCCAGCGAAGGGAACGGCTCTCGGTGTCCCGCCGCGAACGCGCGGGGGGCCCGTTCCCCAGCAGCGCCGCGCGCATTCGCCAATCG